ACCAAGATGAGCTTCACCTCTCTTCTTGCCTTTGTTCTTCTTGTCTTCATCCTTGTCGTGCTTGCGCTTCTTCTTCTCATTAGGACAATCGGTTATGAAGTGATCAGATTGACCACAACCATAGCAAAACCTCTTCTTGTTCCTTCTCTTCCCATCACCGTAAGTCTTCTGGTTGCTCCTCTTCTTTATGAACTTTCTAAAGTTTCTAATGATGAGTGCAACGTCTTCATCGAACTTTTCTTCTTCACTTGAGGAATCATCCTTCACTTTCTTCTTCTTCTCTTGACTAGAAGATTTGCCTTTATGAGCTTGAGTTGCCTTTAGGGCTGCATTCTTGTTGTATCCCATTGCATTAGGATTTTGATTGTGAGCATTGATTGCTTCTTCATCTAGACACTCATGATGCTTGAGCTTTGAAAGAACTTCTTAGGGTGTCATCTCATCATAACTGGGCCTTTCCATGATCACGGACGCTAGCATGTTGTTCTTGGCTCTATAGGTTCTCAACATCTTTCTAGCAACCTTGGTGTCATCCCATTCGGTGCTTCCAAGAGCTCTTATGCGGTTGACCAATGCCATAAGCCTATCAAACATGGATTGTGTTGTTTCATTTTGCAAGAACACAAATCTTTCCAATTCACCAAGAAGTAACTCAATGTTGCTTTTTCTCACACTCTTATCTCATTCAAATGACACTTTCAAAGTATCCCAAATTTGCTTTGTACTTTCCATTCCATTCACCTTTCTAAACTCATCCGGACCTAGGCTTGACACAAGCAATGCTACGGCTTATGCATTTTTATGGAGATTGTGCACTTTTCTGAATTTATCTCTCTATCTTCATCGGTAGGAATCATCACGACAACATCCACAACTTCCCAAAGTCTTGCGGTAATGAGATGCATCTTCATCTTGTAAGACCAATCGGTGTATCTAATTCCATCAAAGTGAGGTGGCTTACCAATGTTGATGGAAGGAGTATGTAGATATGAACTTTGATGAGTTGTCCATAGTCAAAGTTCATGTTTGAATATATTCCCTTTCCATGAGCATGCTCACCGGCTCCAACATCACTAGCAGCATCTTTGTTTGCTTCATTCTTGCCACTTGTTGCATCATTCTTGCCACTTATTGCATCATCTACCTTCTTGCTTAATTCTTCCTTCATCTTGCATCTTCTTCATTTCATCTTGGAAAAACTTGACTTGAGCAGCCATCAACTCTTCAGCTATCTTCTTAGCCATCTCAGTGACATCGGCTTGTGTCTTGTCGGACTCCGACATTGTTTCTTCTCACGCGGTAAAGCGCTAAAAGAAGACCTTGCTTTGATACTAATTGAAAGGATCTAAAAATGACTGGAGGGGGGGGTGAATAGGCGTATCTAGAAATTAACTGCAAATGCTAAGTTCAAATTTGCCAGTCAATGTCGGAAGTCCCGATAGTTTGGGTTGAAACTCCCGACGTCATCAGAAGTTCCGGCACAAACTGTCAGAAGTCCCGACGCCTACGTGAACTACAAAAGCAGTGCCAAATTTAACTTAGCGGATAAATAGTCTTACAACCCCACTTTCTAGTGGTTTGGTGAAGATGTTTGGTCACTACCGTGACGTCGAAATGCCTCCAAATCATAATCAAGTCCAAACCGTAAAATGAAGTTTGGAAGAGAAACAGACAAACAAAAACAAAAGTGATAGCACAAGTCTCAACAACAACAAGCGCATGGGACACAAGGATTTATACCGAGGTTCAGCAACCCCACAAAGGAGCTCCTACATCCTCATTGTTGAGGTGACCACAAAGGTCGAAGTCTCTTTCACCTCCTTGCCTCTCTCAAAGCAACCACAAAGGTCACTCGAGGTTTCCACTAAGAAATCGAGGGTAATACAAACTTTCCAAGGCTCTTCCACAAGATGGAAGCTCTTGAGTGATGCCTAGCCAGCTAGGGTTCTAAGAACCTAAGAGTAATAGACGCAAATCCAACTGGCTTGACGAAGAAATCAAGTGCTCAAGCTTGCCAATGTGATTTTCTCACTCAATCCACTCTCCTATCACTCAAATCCTTGGGGGAATCGAAGTTAGGACCAACGGGGAGAGTAGTGGGGAGCCTTGAATGCTTGAGAGTTGTTTTGCCATGAGTAAGTTGCAATGAATGAGTGAGTAACGGTTAGAAGAGAGGAGAGAGCTATTTATACTCAAGGTAGAAATCCAACCATTCAGATCTACGTCGAAAGTTCCAACGCAGATCTTGGGACTTCCGACCTATAAAGAAAACACTGTTCACAGCTAGATCAAAGTCACAACGAGTAGGTCAACGTCAAAACTCCTGACGTACGTCAGGACTTCCAACAGTTAGGACTCCCGATGTACGTCGGGACTACCGACGAGAGCGGTCAACGAGCTAGCCAAGGTCCAAATATCGAGACTCCCGACCTGAGTCAGGACTTCCGACCATCGGGAGTTTCGACTCACCTCGAGACTTCCAACAGCCATAGTTACCGTGCAGGCTAAGTGACTGGGCGTCGGGACTTCTGACCTGAGTCGGGACTTCCGATCGTCGGGAGTTTCGACTTTCGTCAGGACGTCTGACACCAAAAGTCTCGAAAAGATATTCTACGTGCTCGTGAAGTGCTAGAGTGTCTCTCTTTTAATTTTATTTTTATGCTTGAGCACTCTATCTTCCTCAGAGCAACTAAGTTTGCATCCCTCTTTATAGTGCGGTGGATCCTAAACTCAAAACAAAATATAAAATCCTTGGAAAGCGCTTTGAGTTCATCCGCCTTTACAACTTTAAGAATTGAGGGATACCATTTCATCTTTATCAACTCTTTGAGTCTTTCATGGGACTAATAGCTGCGACATATCTTATTAAGATCACATTAGTCCCTAATTTGGATGTTATCAATACACCAAAACCCACATAGGGGGCAAACCCGCCTCGGTTAATGGACTAAAAAAACAAAAAAACCAAGAGCCCACTAGCGAGCCCGGTTTTGAGCCCACCGGCTAGCCCAATTCCTAGCCCCAGAGCTAGATCCACGCCCACGCCAACGTCAGCCGCCCTCCCTGCTCCCGTCACGGTGTCATCCAAACCTGGCCATGCTCCAGAGTCCCACCATCGGATCTACCTCTGCTCCACCGGATCTGCCTCTGCTCCACTAGATCTGCAAAAGGGGAGGGGGACAGTGAGGGAGATGAACATGGGACATGAACAGGTGGATCTCCAAACCTGCGAATCTGCTCCAAACCTCCGGATTGAGCCCGCCGCCACGCCCCTGCCTGCCTCTAGCTGCGCCCCTGCCCCTTCTCCAAACCTCCGGCTATGGATCTGCTCCTTGTGCCTAGGCCCGGCCCTCGTGCGCCACCGAGCCGCGCTTGCCACCGCGCACATCTCGTCGCGCGGCCCCGCGCTGCCACGGCCACCACGTCGGCGTGGCCCCGTACCGCATCGCGCGCCAGAGAGGAGGGAGCGCTGGAGAGAGGGAGGGAGGCACCGGGAGAGAGGGAGGGAGTGCCGGGAGAGAGGGAGGTAGCGCCGGGAGGTAGGGAGCACCGCACGTGTGAGGGAGGGAGGGAGGGAGCGCCGGGAGGGAGGAAGTAGAGAGCGGGTACGGCTAGGAGAGCGGCTGGGAGAGAGGCCTGGGGAGAGTGAGCAACTAACCCTTAGTCTTGGTTATATACGAGCCCAATAGAATAATGGATATGGGCTTTGTCTGGGCTAGGACCTGGGCTACTATTTACCGAGACGGGCCTTATAATGTTACCGCCTCAGTTAATGTATTAACCGAGGCGATCGCGTTAGGTTGCCCGCCTCGATAAATCGATTTTGTGAGGCGGTTGACTGAGACCGCTTCGGTTAATAAAAAATGATCGCCTTGATTAATACTAGGCATTAACCGGGGCGGTTTAAAAGCCCGCCCGCCTCCGAGTCCAATTTCAAAACGTCTCGTAAAATCTTTTGTGTAGTAGTGTGGAGGTAGCGGCCCGACGGTGCTCGTAGGCAGTGGTTTCGCGGCAGCCGCACGCGGGGCAGGGAGGCAGCGGCCCGGCGGTGCTTGTAGGCAGTGGCTGCGCAGCGGCCGCACGCGGGGGCAGGGAGGCAGCGGCCTCGCACCGCGCCTGGAAAGGCCTGTAGCCGAGCGCCGCAACTTGCAGGGCCGGCAACCGTGCCGCTGCAACTCGCAGGCAGCCGTCCGCCAAAACCAGGAGGGGGCAGTCGCGCGTCGCATGTGGTAGGGCTAGCAGTCGAACGTCTTCATGGTAACATTATTGTTATTACTATACAGGACTCAATGTTGAGCTCGAAGGAAAATGATGTATCTATTCTGTATGTTTCTGGAACTTTCGTCCAAAAGAATGTAAAGTGTAGTTTAGCAAAATAAGTTATGTATGCATTTACTTACTCAGCTGAGACCTCACTGGGCACCTAAATAGGTACTTACTACGTACCCTTAACCACACGCCGACCCACTGTTCATGGTCAGTCACCAAGCGGTATGTCTTTTTTTTCTAAAAAAGAAAAATACTGACTTTTTTCTTTCACTGACGGCTGATAAGTTTGGGAACCGGGAGGTAGCCACACGCCACGGTGCCGGGAAAATTGTATATTTGGAACTCCAAACAACGAGCTTTGTAGATTTGGAACTCCAAATATTAACTTTATAAAAATAACCCTCCAAAAGTTGAATTCTTGATTTTCACGATATTAAAGGGGTGTTTGGGACTACTCCACAAACTCTGCTTCACAAACTCCATCGTAGAGCAGCTTCATAAAAAACTAGAGTTTGTGGAGTACCTCTTTAGGTGCTCTCACAACTCCACCATTTTTCCTCGAGCAGAGTGCGTGGAGCTGAAACTGTTTGACTAAAAAACATGGAGCGAAGCTGAAAAACGTAGAGCGGAGCAGTCCCAAACACCCCCTAAGTGTATATATCTCTTTTGAATCTAAATACATGTACTTGAGCCTAACCTGACCCATTTGCCCTTCTGCTGTTACGTACGAGATGTGGGTGCTGGTGCTGCTGCTCACATTGGTTGGCGGCCTTGTTGGCTTGCCTGGGCTGGCTGGCCGCCGGCTGTGCATGGTTGCCGGCTGGGCTTCGACATTCATGGCGTCGGGGTTGGGCGCGGCCAGGCCTGTGGCCGTCGCGGACAGGCCAGACGAGGCCGGCGAGCCCAGGTCTGAGGGCGACGCAGCCACCGCAGCCAGGCCTACGGCCGGCAGGGCGAGGCCTAGGGCCGAGGCTGCCGCGGCCGGGCCGGGCAGACCACACGCCGGCGGGGGAAGGGCAGATGACGGCGGCGCGTGGGAGTCTGCCATGGGCGCCGCGTCGAGGAAGGAGATCGGGCGGGCGGCGGCGTGAAGAGGAAACGATACGTCGGTCTCGGCTCATGCAGGTGCCACAATATACAATTTTCTCCAGAGTGCCACACCGTACTCCGGCGAGCCCCGTTCCCCCGAACCTCGAATCTCTAATCCCAAATCCCTCTCCCACAGCCTGCCGACCGCGCGGATGGCATCGACGTCGGCGACGTACCGGACCGCCAGCGCCCCGGCGGCGCAGACTGTACACCCTGACGAGATCTGGGAGGAGATCTTCCTGCGCCTCGATGCCGCGGCCGACCTCGCCCGCGCCTCCGCTGCCTGCTCCTCCTTCCGCCGCATCGTCTCCGCGCTCTGCTTCCTCCGCCGCTTCCGGTCCCTCCGCTCCCCTGCAGTCCTCGGGCTCATCAGTTCCACCAGATACCAACCATTCTTCCCCGTCGAGCCTCCCCACCGCTCCGCCCCGGAAGCCCGCGCGCTCGAGCAAGCCGCCGACTTCACCTTCTCCTTCCTCCCCGACCCCAGCATGTGGCGCTTTCGCCATGCCCGCGATGGCCGAGTCCTCCTCTGCCGGCGCATCTCCACCAAAATCCAATTCGAGGATTTCGTAGTCTGCGACCCCCTACATCGCCGGTACGTCAAGATTCCCCGCATACCCGACGACCTACTGGCCTTCGCCGCAGACAATGGTATAACGCGGCCTGTGTTACCCGTTCTCGCTCCAGCCGGCGAGAATGACGAGGAGGAATCGTTCAGAGTTTATCTGGACTGTGCAGCACAAAGGCAAAGGCAGGGTCGTGGTTTTCATCTTCCCTTCCTGCAACCAGACGTGGCGAGGTAATTATTAGCACGATCTGTTTGCCTAATGGATGTCATTGACCTCCCACCCCACAATCTTGATTCAATGCGTGCCATTATCGGGGCACAGGAAGGCAGACTCGGGTTCTTAACTATTGCTGATGGCACAATTGACCTGTATTGCAAGAATTGGCAAAGCAATGGTGTTGGCACAGTAGGGCGTTACTTAGCTCTACGAGGGTCTCATCAAATTTGTACTGGACACCAAGACATTGCTTCTTGAGAAGGTCTGCACCTCGAGCAATGTAGTGTTCCTTGGTATTCCTTATGCAAGATTTCCACCACCGTTCACACCGCCAAGCATATGAAAGGGTAAAACTGTCCTCCATGCCATCCTACTTGTTACCTAAGTGCACTTGCTGCTGGCATATCCAAAATTTTCTCACATCCTTTGGTGTTTTGGATTATTTTTTTCTATCATGATATGTTGCTTTGGAAGCTAACCAAAATACATAATGTATTAGGAAAATTCTGTAGCATTTTGCGACCAACTAGTTGTTACAATCAACATCTTCGTATTCAGATATCTTGCTCCAACAAAAGTTGCCACTTTCGGACATTCGTGTATCCTTATATGACAATCGTGTATCCCATGTGTATCACTCTTTTTGAAAAGTGAAGTATTTGACCCTTCCATCACATATCAATTGGATATAGTGAATCCAGAAAAAGGCTTAATTAGATATTGTTCTATGTCCATCGATATGTGCTTTTAGGTGATCTACTTTCTATAGTAGTTTAGTGATGAATTTGACATTAATAGCATATATAAAAACTATCAAGTTTGATAGACTTATTGATTTTGTTTTTGTTTTGGCGTACTCTGTATGCTGTAGCTAGCACCTGAATACTAGCACAGGCAAATTTGTCTAGCGCCTGAATACTAGAGCAGAAATTTGTGTCTGTTTTTCTTGGAAAAAATGCACTGGGTTAAATCATTTGTATACCTCCCTTTTGATAGATTTTAAATTTGCATTAACGTGCAGAATGAATAGCTTGCTTTTTCACATGCACAAGCAGATATTCAACTAACTATGCTCAAATCCCTCTTTGATTATTCTAACACTGTATTCTTTGGTAGGTCTGCTCTCTTGACTTTGAGGTTACAGAGCCGCATGGTTGGGAGCATCTGAATGAAAGATTAGCCATGTCATGCAAGACATTAACAGCTACTAGAACTCTAGCAGTGATGGCGTTCATCTGTAGATGATCGGCTGTTATTTAGTGGTTAGTCTCCGTTGTCTTATTCCTCCTGTTTGCCCTTTTGCCCTGATTTGTTGAGGTTACATGATACAATTCTGAAACAAAGAACAAACTGCTATAATTGGCTTCTACCATTTGCCTCTGAGAATCATGTGATTTGTCCTAATATGTATCAATATTATTGTCTAAATCTGATGGTGGGTCACAACTGATTATTTGCCCCCGCTGCTTTGCTGAACTATTGCTACACATCACAGAGGGTTTGTGCATGGCAAAGCGTACCAGGAAAGCAATTATGAGACCTTGTAATTACTGATTATTTTCTTCTTGGAATGTGTGATTCTCAAGGGCGATTTGTTCTGCAAGCATCTCCGAAGTTTGACATGTAAAATTATGGATTGTATTAATCCGTCAGGCAAGAAATATTGCTGCCGGGACATATACTTTCCTGTAACATCGCTGCTGGAACATATACTTTCCTGTCCCAGATGTTACGGCTGACTATATACATCCCTAACTGTGGCTCCATGCTTCATCCATGATAGTACTATATACATCTGCTCTGCATAGATCGTGTTACAGTCATCGCTCCTTTGCATTGTGCTGTACAACTTTGCTGAAATTTGTGTGTTCTACACATTTTTTTTCTCCTAGCGCCTCAAATACATTTAAATGTATTTTGTTAGTGCAATTGTGCTTTCGTGTGACTATCAAAAGTTTCAGTTATGTACATGCCACAGTAGACATTCTACAAGTAGAAAACGGTGACCAAATGGATTGGTGCACAAATACATTAAAAAAAACAGTAACACTACATATTGGCATGCTTATTGTGATGATCCAGTCTGTGAAGGGTGTTCGGCTGGTTTTGGTTGATTCAATAGTGTTCTGTGAGAGAGAATAAGCTGAAACAAACTGAGTCGAGCCGAGCCGAACATGCTGTAGATCCCTTGCATGAATGGCCTGCTAATGGCCGGCCCATCAAGAGTGATAGAAGAGACTGGTGATCCCTTGCATGAATGGGCTGTGTGCCATCATTTGGTTGGCCATTTTGCATGCATTCTAGCTAATCAAACCCTGTGATTCTCGAGGTGCAAGAAATACTGTAGGAATGTTCTTGTTGAAATCATGTCCTAGTGGCGCCCCTAATGACGTGACATTGTTAATAAGATCACGTCCAGTGCCCATAATTATGAAATTTCTACCTGACGTGACATTTTTAGCGATTAAGCAATGGAAGATCAGCACGTGTGGAATATGGAAATTTCTCTATAATAATATTCATTTAAGAAATTCCTTGTATGCCATTTTCTCCGGATACGTACGTACTCCAATGTCAGTACAATATAATATTCATGTTTCTCCAACAAACGCATACAGTTAAGATTTTTTTTTTCTTCACAGCACCTTTTGTAATCTCAACTGTAGCAGTATATATCTTATAAGTTCTCATAACAAGACAAGCTCGAACAGCCAAACTAAAAACCCAAAGGGGTAAGCTGGATTGTGCTGTACATTGAACGCTCACTGGATGAGCATTCTGTTTCTGGGTTAAGGTTTAAGGATATACGGTTACGATATAGGGTTCCATCCACTAAGGCCTCTTTTGAACCACGAATTTTTTTTCTATTTTCTACATCTTTCTGTGAAAATAATCTGCTTCTTTTTATAAACTTATGGATGATTTTTTTAAAAAAATTTACGTTCCAAAGGATTCTAAGGTAGTGTTTCGTTCATGGGATTTCCAAAGACAAGATAGGATGGACCCATTTTAAAGGTGTTTGAATCTCAAGGACATCCGTTTAGAATATTCTCTGTGGATTCCTTGACTCTGCGTCCAGCTTTTTTTTATGGACGGAGACATCCCTCCTCGCGGCTGCACTGTCAGACTCTTTGGGAGGCCGTATCGTATCGTGGATTATTTACTGCTGGCTGGTTTGGTGTGAGAGAAAAACACTGTTTCCGGCTGGGAATTTACGATCGTTTACGAACAAGCGAACATGTTGTATGTCAATCTGGTGGCTGACGAGACATCCATGGAGTAGGAGCAGGCAGCGGCGCATCCAGCAACCCCACGCGGTGGAGGGCATCACCAGAGGCATGCAAGGCGGCGGCGTGGCACCTGAGGGCGCGGAGGGAGAAGAGGAGCGGTCGCACAACCTCCGCCATCAGCACCGTTGCGCGCCACCGTGTGAGTGAGGTTCGCAGCCGGCCCTGCCATGTGAGGTCGTGGGCGACCTCCATCGCCGGCCCCCCCCACGTGTAGCCGTGCGGGTGAGCTCAGGCCTCGGCCCCACTACTTGGCCAAGCTCCATCGACTCTGTGGGCCCCATGTGGGAGAGAAAGAAGAAAGGGGAAAACAGAGAAGGGAAAATAAAAAAATTGCTGATTATGTTTATGTGGGCCCCACGTGTCATAGTCTTATTAAAAAAAAATTTAGGTGCCCTCAAACCAGGACAGGAATGATCCTTTTTCTCTCAACCAAATAGGAAATGAAATCATCCCATCGCTTAAAACAGAGACAGACGGCCTGTTCGCTGGTTGGTGCTGGTGCTGGTTTGGGCTGGCTGGTGCTGGTTTTTTTTTTTTTTAGAAAAACACTGTTGGCTGGCTGGTTTAGGTTGGCTGAAACCAACAAGCGAACAGGCTGAGAATCATGCTGCTTTGCCCTTGTCTTGCAACCAAAACTACCTAGGCCTCGTTTAGATTGCAAAATTTTGCAACATGAACACTGTAGCACGTTTCGTTTGTATTTGACAAACTTTATTCGATCATGGACTAACTAGGCTCAAAAGATTCATTTCGTGATTTACAATCAAACTGTATAATTAGTTTTTTTTACCTACATTTAATGCTCCATACATGCGTCCAAAAATTAATGTGATGAAAAGAGAGTGAAAAAACTTAGAATTTGAAGGTGATCTAAACAAGGCCCTATCTGCAGAGCAGTAGCCCTGGTATATCCGTATATGTTACTGCTCGTGTCTTCGTGAAGGCATGGTGGCATGCCGCGTTGCCACACGGTTCATCTGACTCGGCGTCCTCTGCATTGTTGTCGCAGTCTTGCAGGCATGGGGAATGACATGCATGCCTCGCCGGATGGACCCCAAAGGCACAAGAATCAGACAGGAACATTGAAAAAGATACATGTATAAAAAAAACGTATCCATACTCCCTACATCTGGCACAGGCATTTCCTATAGTTTTGGATGTCATAGGTATCGTATGGGTATGGGATGTTTAGATATTAATTAAAAATAAATTATAGAATCCGTCGATAATCTGCGAGACGAATTTATTAAACCTAATTAATTCATCATTAACACATATATTACTTTAGAACCACATTGTCGAATCGTGGGCTAATTAGACTTAAAAGATTCGTCTCACAAATTAGTTATAAACTGTACAATTAATTATTTTTTAATTTATATTTAATACTCTACGTATATATTCAAACATTCGACAAGATAGAAAGTAAATTTTAGGGAAGGAACTAAACAAGATCTCAGATCCCATTTGCTGTGCATGCAAAGTGCAGCATGGGGCCTGTTTGGCCTTACACCTGCCAAAATCTTTCATGCTGAAACGAGTGGAAAATCACAAGGGAAAAAAAGAGAGGAGATCTACCAGCACTGCATTTTGCAGGCCAACTTTTATCGGTGATCATTCATGGCTTTTACCAACTTTCTCCATGTCTTGTTACTCCTACATTACTGCAAAAAGCTCTTGAAGGCTTTTACCAGAGTCTTCACTGCTGGCTGCTGAAGATCCAACAAGGCAACAACACAATGAATACAGTGATCGAGCCCCAGCTACAACTGCAAAACAACCTTCGCGGCTTCGCCAATCAATGCCGAGAGGAGCAGCTCATCATTACTCGAAAAATAAAGATCCGTTTTTCTAGAGTGTAAATGTGATCAATATTACTTAGAAATTACGTTTCAGAGCATCTCCAAGAAACTTTCTATACGATAGGAATAGATATTTTGATATAAAATACCCTCAACAGCTTCTTCAAATGATTATGCAAATATAACCATATTCTATTCTGGATTTTTCGCTAGCTAAAAATAGAAGACGAGAATGACTCTCTAGAGTGCGCATGATATATAGAAAAGCTGTTGGAGAGTGAAAAGATATAGAAAGCGATTTTTATGCAAATAACTCTCTAAATAATGATTTAGACACTAAGATTTAGAAATGCTCTTGAAGATGCTTTTACCCGTATCGAAACCCATTTTAGCATGTAATGATTGGATTTAAGAAATAGAGAAAGTAACCTACTATAAACTAAGTGGACCATACTTAAAAGTACACTTATTTTGGGATGGAAAACTAATATTTTATATAAAATTTGTAAACTACAAAGTTATAGATCGTATTGATAAACTGTAACTTTGTATAAACTATGCCAACATCTCAAGTCGTTTGAAAATTTTAAAATTTGAATTTCAAAATTTGACAATTTAAAAAGAATTTGTGGCACTCCAAATAATTTTAAATAAAAAAATTATCATCTATAAAGTTGTAGATCTCATTGAGGTCTACTTTTTTTATATAAAGTTCGTCTTCATCTGACTTTATATACAAAAGTTATAATTTTTTTAGATAACTATTAAAGCTTATGGTAGAAAAGTGAGGTGAATAATGCCATTTTTAACTTTTCTTTCATCTCCTAAAAACTATTGTTTTAATACATATAGTGCCTAAGAGCTAACTATTCTCTAACAAAAAAATAACATTATGTAAAATATCTTACTGTAAAATAATATTAGGTAGTGTCTATCACCCAATATCATTCTCTAACAAAAGAATATTGCAAACCTTCTGGATTTACTCACATTATGTCATGAGTAGTCTTGCAAGTTACTGAACCAAAGAGGGAGCAGGATAAAAAAATAACCGTCATTTCAGCTGCCCCTGTCCTCCCAATACAGGAGTAGTTAGTGACAACATTAGAGCAAGGCTAATAATACAGTCAATAAATTAGGTGTAAGAATCTTTGTAGACTTTACTTAGTTTGTTTATATAGTAGTTACCTGTTAATACATTTTGTTTATATAGTAGTTATACACGATCCATTTATCTCTTTCACAATATTCCTCTGTTTTCATGTCTAAACCGAATATAAGCTTATAACCCATTTCTTATGCCTGCTCTCGGTGCACTGGTAACTAGGCTGGAACCTGCTCTCGGTGAGTTTTTTGGGACACCCAGCTCACCTACCAACAGTTGTGCCTCATTCATTCGTATCAGAATGTGTGAAGCAGCCACAGTGGAGAGGAGACAGACCTACGCAGTGACCGGAGGAAACAGGAGTATCTCAGTACCAGATTCTTGTTGGTTCCTACTGTTAATCTTCATCGTTACTAATATCATTCAGATCCAACACCTTTTTAACTGCAATTACAAACATGGCAATGTGTAAGGATGAATCTTCTGAAACCAACCTTCGCAAAACAAAACAAAAAAAAGAATCTTCTGAAACCAAGAAAAGGATCATGTGTTCTTGCTACCATCACCGTATTTTGAGCGACACGCTGAACATCAGCTTTCTATATTGGGCCTGGTTTAGATTGCAAGTTTTTTCACTCTCTTTTTATCACATTAAATCTTTAACACATGTATGGAGTATTAAATGTAGATAAAAAAAATAACTAATTACACAGTTTGATTGTAAATTACGAGATAAATCTTTTGAGCCTAGTTAGACCATGATTAGACAATAATTATCAAATACAAACGAAAGTGTTATAGTGTCAAATACTGATTCCTAACCTCAATCTAAACAAGGCCTTAGAGCGAAATGGCATGGACTGCCCAACGACCTTGGAAAGGAAACCTTGGAAACATGTCTGCATCACACAAGAGCTCAGTGCTAGAGCCTAGAGCGCGACATTTCAGTTCCTGGTTCTTCCCATGTCACATTTCAGTTCCTGGTTCTTCCCATATCACCACAGTGACATGTCAGCCAAATAACTCCAACCAGACCAAAGAATCACCAGCAGAAGATCAACATTTTCAGCAGTCATCAACACTTAAAAATACATCACTGTAAGATTACTACAAACAGAGATCAAACAGCCCACTGATCCCTTTTCTATACAACAACAAAAGACAAAACCTTTTTTGTCCCAGCCACTCACTTAACACTACATACTTACTAAACACTAAGCTAAGCCAAGAATAGTTGAGCTCCAAGAACGGCCGCTCAAGTCGGAAGAGCAGAAAAGGGGTTCACGGAGGTGGGGTTGGCGACGGCACGCGTCACGGTCTGGCCTTGCCGGCCGCGGCCGCGGCGGCGAGGCCGTGCATGGCGCCAAAGCCGCGGGAACCGAGCCCGAGGCAGCCGAGGAGGAGGCCGCCCTGCCGGTATGGCAGGAACGTGCGCCGCCGCATCTCCTCCGCCTCTGCGCGCCGGGCCTCGTACAGCCGCGCATGCGCCGACCTCCTCGCCCTCCCGCGGCCTCGTGATGCCGCCGCCGGGGACGACGGGGAGGGGTTCCTCTTGGGCGCCGCCGGCGGCGGCGGAGGCGACGGGTTGGAGGGGAGAGGTGGGCGCTCGCCGCCGTCGGACTTGCTCCGGTGGAGGATGTCCTTCAAGAAACCCCACCTGCGGTAGTAGCTTCTTGACGACGAGGAGGAGGAAGCAGAGGACGCCGTCGAGGAGGACGACGACGACCGCGACGCCGACGGGGCCGCCTCGGCCTCGCCCGCCGCCGCTGGCTCCACGGACTTCGCCGCCGGGGCAGGCGACGACGACGGCGATAGCCAGCGGGCGCGGAACGGGGAGAGGGAGCGGTACCGGCGGTGCACGGGCGGGCTCCGGCGGAGACGGCCGCGCTCGTGCGGCGGCGGCTGCTCCGAAGGCGGCGGCTGCGGTGGCGGGGGGACGTCTCCGTCGAGAGGCGGGAGCGCCTGCGGGCTGAGCAGGAAGGACGTGAGCCGCATTGGCCGGATCTGACCGTTGTGGAAGAGCTCGTCGGCGGAGGACATCGCTGCCGCGGCGGGAGACGGGCAGCGCGAGGAGAAGTCGAAGTCGAATCCCAGCTCGCAGCCGTCGTACTCATCCGCAGTGCCGGGGCCGCCGCGCGCTGTAGAAGCAACCGGCAGCGGAGAACGACGGGTCGCGGGCGGGGCTGGACGGCGCGCTGTAGAAGCAACAGGCAGCGGAGAACGACGGGTCCCGGTCGGGGCTGGACGGCGCGCTTACGAAGGGTGTGGAGCACGCGCTTTCCTCCCCACTTGCGCATCCAACGCCGCCGCCACTGGCAGTGTGGTCGCCGGAGCTGGCGGCCATCGGGCCTGCGACGGGTGCTGGCCAATGGCAATGGGGATGGTGACACACTGAAGTGAAGAGGATTTTAAAGCGCCCGAGAGGAGTTTGGTTGGATGGATGCTGGATATTTTCTGATTTGCACCCCTGAAAACCTGAAATTCTTATTCATCTTGATAGAGACCCCTCCGGAAATTTGTTTTTGAGATAAACAAATGCAAGTAAAAACATATTCAATCAAATATGTCTGTTTGAAACACCCCGGCTCTACTCTGAACTATAGAGAGGTAAAATGGTAAAAATAAAGAGACCATTGTTGAGAAGATGGCTTGTCTTTCATATGATATGCAATCCAAATCGAGCTATATATATATATATATATATATATATATATATATATATATATATATATATATATATATATATATATATATATATATATATATATATATTCTTAGATAATTATGTTATAAAATACGTGCTTATGCACGTTTGCAAAAACGCGAATGAACACATCACACATGCAGCTGCGTTTAGTATTATTAAACACCGAAAAAGGAGCTACAGTAATGACTAGGGTCATATTTGTTACTTATAGTTTATAAGCTGTCTATGACAAAAATAAATTGAGACTAAAAGGCTAACAACATGTCTTTTTACATTTTTTTTTCTTGCCACGTTTCTGCACACAACACATATTTGTACTAAACCGTTGAAGTTGAGCCAGCCAACTTATTTTGACCGCGTTTTAGTTTTTCAGAGAAGTTTTAACGTTCTGCAAAACGATACCTAAACAGCTTCCAAATTATTAAAAGATTATTAACATGCATGTTTTTTTCCAAACGAATAAGTACAATACTAGATAGAAGATCCAAATGAAGCTCAACTACTCCCTCTGTCCCAGGATATAAGGCGTAACTGTTTTTTTCTTAGTCCCATGATACAAGGCGTCTGCACTTTAGCTCCTGCATGCAACAACTAATGTAGGACCAAATCTGACTCTTGGGCTCCCTCGGAAATGCATTTGTGCAGCATGCATGCATGAATGCTGGAAGCTAATTGGCTAGACCGTTTCTGCATGCACGCATACGGCATCACAGTAAATTGGATGGAGAACCAAAACGACTTTAATATGTAGGAGTTAATTTACTTATTAGTCTTGGTGCCAAAGGGAGTTGCGTCTTCTATCCTGAGACAGAGGGAATAATAGCTTAGCTAATACAGTATAGCCCCGCTAATAAAGCTATATCATCCAGTTCCATTGTGCTAACAACCACGTAATAATTATTGCTAATGGATCTAAAAAGGGAATTATGATTAAACACAATGCCTTTGAGAAACTTACATTGATCGGAGCTCCATCGTGGAACCATGCATTCATCATGAAGCAAATTTATTTCAAAATTAAAAAAAATCATCATGCATGAAGCAAATTCCAGTTGTTGCCATGAAGCATGCATGCATGCCACACACACGAAGCATCTCGGCTTCATTCTTCCGATCTTAGTTTGTTCAGATAATATCGGGCGCGCTTCGTTTGTTCTCGCAATATGAACCGGCTTCGTTCAATTAATCTCTCGGCTTCTAGACTTTTCCGTCGCGATGCGCTGGGGTCGTCCGAAAGCTTATTTCATGCGCGCTAGCTCTAGCTAGGTAGCTTTTCTCTTCTGAACACTGTTACCTAAGGTTCATGTCCCTTTCGTGTGGCTACATGCGCATACGTATGCACATTCTTTCTGTCTATCGGGCACACGCATGGGAATGCATGGTGCGTGTATGGAGCAGCGGAACTAGCTAAGCCAGCAAGCTCACAAACATACAAGCGCGAGCATTTTTCATGCACTCATCATATGATATTCGAGTTTCAGAAGACCGTGGAGGTCGAGTTATTAGTTCTTGGCCTATCTTGAGGAAATTTTCGCTGATCAAAGTAGTGGTAGCCCCTTTCGTCGGAACATACTGTTCGCGCACGAACTCGTGCATTATAGAGGATGCAAACTCATAATATATATCAAGCCTCTGAACCCCTTACCACCACAACCACTTAATCACTTCGGATGCTATTTTATATTAACTTATATGGTTTTTTTTTAAAAAAAATTGGGCCTCTAATAAACGATCTCTAATGAAAAAGAATGTCAACTATGTTGCTTTAGATCTCATTAGATATTGCAACTTCTTATAAATCATGTCTCTTTTCCAAGGCCTTTTGGAAATTTCAAAATTTTGAGTTTAAATATTTAAGAACTTATAATAAAAATTAGGCCTCTAAACGTTTTAAAATGAATTATAGAACTCGTTGAGCTCTACAATTTGTATTTAAAGCATTGATGACAGGACCCTCTCTACTTTGTCTCATCTTACTTCAAATTTGGAGAAGTTCTAAATTTATTTGAATGGCAAAAAATCTTGCATTTTCGTGGTGGTTGACATAAGAAAAGGCGCCCAAAATGAAATATTGGTGCCAAAATTTAGTTCGCCACTCTAATTGACGCCACGTTAGTGAAAACCTAGGAACACGAGCCAACGGTGATAATCATTTTCAATGTTGGTTGTTCCAATGGCCACTATGCCCACCTATTTGTGAATCGAAGGTGGAAACATATTGAAAGTGTAAGGAACTGGTGGTCAAAATGTTGTTGCGCCAATATTTTTCACGAGTGAGTGGCATGGTGTTAATTGGTGGCGAGTGACCCCACAGCCAGCTAGGACGGCGTACGGTGTTGGGGTCGACGGTAGGGACAGGCGCGAGGGTGTCGGGGTCTGTAACGCCCTAGAGTTTAAACGGCTCAGATCCACTCTACACACTGAGCGAACCACACCTACCACCATCCCCCTTACGCTTTCGTCCTCGCTTCGCGTAAAAGGATTAACTCGGGGATGGTGGAATGGACTCTAGAAGCCTTATATGTTGGTCTATCCCACTTTTAACAATCAATGTGGGACTAAACTCTCCACAATATATTTCATTAAGTTACACATGGGCCACTATGGGCCAAATTCCAAACTAGACCGGATGTGACATACACCCCCCTAAAAGGAACTGACGTCCTTATCGGCCCAACACACCCACAATCGGGCAAACGATGACCAGAAACGTTCCCTCTTAGCACACGCAACCGTGCATCTAGTGCCCGCACATGTGCCATGCCGTGCACCCCGTAGGGCCTACACACGCAATGAACCTTCATGTCCCCGCCCCTGACCCGCACGCGCCCGTGGCCGCGAAGATCGGCTCTAATACCATTTTGTAGCACCCGGTTTTAAGGACAAAACCAGATACACACCATATGCAAGTCCAGGAAGTCAAATCTCACATATAGCTACAATTAAGGGTAATATCAATAGATAATGCTTAAATACATAACGTATTAGTATAAAGAATATAACATCAGAGTATAGACAGCGGAAAGACAACTCCGATCTTCAGGCGAAAACTCTAAATCCACAGTGATAACTGATTGGTTGACCACAAGCCTAATTTCTCCAAACTCTAGCCATCTGGTACACATCCGGGATTTTTATTCAAATAATTGAAAAAAATAAAGCAAGCGTAAGTACATGTCGTACTCAGCAAGTATAGCATGGGATCATCCTTGTTTCCTATACACCTTTAATCATTTAACTCATGCTGCATGTATCTACCTTGACTACCACTAAGGATATCCTAGTCTTTTGTACTTGTACCTTGATTCCTATGGGGTATTGTATTGGGTAGCTTTGCTAGTGCTCAACTACAACCATGATCTTGTAACTTGACTAATGGTATATGCAATAAACATTAAAATATAACTTTTTAGCAACTTGGAAACAGAGAGCTGCAGTGTTTAGCTACTTTCTAAATGCTTCAGATTCCTCTCTCTAAGGACTTATATGTAAGTGATTATCCGAGACTTACAGTACAACCATGAGGGCTACATGGCTCTGATCTTAGTCTAGTACCTTGCTCTTTCTAGTTTATAGCAGTTTACCGAAAGGGCAAGAGGGGCATACCAGGCTGGGTATGGGTCTCATCCCCAGGGTGGGTACTATGCTGCATGTATAAGTGCTACTTTTGGAGATGACTCCATAACACTTGGGAGATGGAATCCTTAACGGCTGCTCCTTATTAGAATGACTGGGAAAAAGCTTCGTAGTGTACCCTGCCTGCTCACCTTGAAAGTATTTTGGGAGTTATAAACCTGGGCATATGGATATCACAACTCATGGTGAAAGCGTACAACCTCTGCAGAGTGTAAAACTGGTATATCAGCCGTGCTCACGGTCACGAGCGGCCTTGGAACCCTTACGGAATAGATGATGAACACTAATGATATGGATGAAGAAGATGCTCACTAATGGTTAATTGTTTATGCTATTCATTATTCACGTTTACCTGATCATGTGTTTATGGGCTTATGATAAACTTGTTGCCACCCAATTGCTAAAAGATGACTCATTAAAAGCTAATCGCAGTTAAACCAGTGTCAGCCTTTTGAGCCTCATGAACTCCATGTTATACTTGCTGAGTACGATATGTACTTACGCTTGCTTTATTTTTTTTCAATTATTTGGATAAAAATCCCGGATAGGTACCAGATGGCTAGAGTTTGGAGGAATTAGGCTTGTGGTCAACCAGTCAGTTGTCCCTCTGGATTTGGTGTTTTCGCCTGAAGATCGGAGTTGTCTTTCCGCTGTCTATACTCTGAGGTTATATTCTTTATACTAATACGTTATGTATTTAAGCATTGTCTATTGATATTACTCTTAATTATAGCTATATGTGAGATTTGACTTTCTGGGCTCGCATATGGTGTGTATCTGATTTTGTCCTTAAAACCAGGTGCTACAGGGTCCATGGCGGAGAGTGAGTGCAGGGGCGTCGGTGGAGCTTCTCTCCTTCTTTCAAGTGGTGTTCATGTCTTGGAAGTGAGGAGGTACCGGGTATCCCCTATATATAGTGGTTGAAGGTGGGCCCATGGATCCAACTGTTCTTCACCCTCACCCTTTGGATCAAACAACCATATAATCAAAAGAGGAGATCC